AATAATGAATCATCATGTTACTTTTATTAATTATGTTCTCTTTTACCCACTTTCACTTCCCACCACTAACCTTCATTGAATGGGCCTCTTTCACAGCAGACTCTGAGTAGTCACAGCATGAAAAGCTCAAGAGCTGCTAATGTCATTAAAGATGCCTCAGTTTCACTCAAGTATCTCAATGAGTTACAGTATGAAAGAAGCCACAGTCTCACGACTCTGAAAATAAAGGTGCTAAAATGAATCGGGCCATAAGTAATGCTTTTTTTTTTTTTTACACCTTTTACTACACCTATGCTATTGTGACTAAAGCTGTTCCCAAGTTATATGACTAGCCTGTCACTCCCCTTAATCAGTTCAGCCACTCCTTATCTCTACCTGCCCATAAGCACAAGCTCTTTACCAGTCTTTCACTACAAAGCTTGTCCCTGGGCTCCCGCCTGATTTTACCTTTGCTTTAGAACCTGGTTCCTCACTGCCTTTCTGCTTTTGAGCTCACAAAACACCTACATAAACTCTGACAAGGCACATTATTTACGACCCAATTAGGACCTGACCGTGCAAATTCAATTATGGCATGTCTCATTTCTGTCGAACACACTCCATACATGGCATCCATATGGATGAACTTCCAGCCACCACTTGAGATCAGATTTCCCAACTCAAATATATGTTATTGCACCACCTATAGTAATAAAGCAGATAAATGGTCTCTCCATGTACCTCATACCCTCGGTACAATATAGCAACCCTATTAGAGGCAGTGTTGTAAACATTCAGGCAAACTGGTGCACACCTCACTTTCAGTGTATTTCAAAATGACACGAGGAAATTGCGCAAAGCACCAATGAGGCAAAAGATTAATTATAAAGACACGTTACTAATCACTGTCTTTTAAAAAAAATCTGCATCCACACGGCTGACAATGGGCCAAGACATTGTTGTGGCACTGGTTTATATGCAAACTAATTTTCTCTTCGCTTCTTTTCCAGATCTAATTATTTGTTTTAGTCCATCACCAGTGCAAATTTGCAGGTTCAAAAGGTTTTGATGTTTGAACAAATTAAGTATTTTTGCAGTCAGGGTCTCAAAAGTTCATTAAAAAGTGTTTAAATTATGACCTACACAGTATTTAGGTTTCCTCTCATCTTCTAAGGAGGCCGACTGGGGCCAATTGGCCAAAACACCCGGCTGGTCGGGACCACCACGGGAGCCCGGTTCCTCACTCCCCTTAACGAAGAGCCATTAACAATCAAAGTCTTAACGGCCCTGCAGCTTAACGAGGGGACTTAACGAGCTTCTTAATGAAGCCCCAGCCATCATTACCACAGTGAGTGGTGGCAGCACTGATTGAAAGCACTGCTCAGAGTCATTCTGAAGCAGGAGAGACGAGCCTAAGGAAACCAAATCCATTTAAGGCTGACCTCTCACCCTTATCTGTTCTTCCAAGATTAATAGGAAAGTAGAATAAGGGAATGCGTTTAACCACATAATGGCTATGGCTAATTTATGGCTACAGAGACGTGTGAAAATAACCAAACAATTTTATATATAACACAACTGGCTATCACACATCAGAATGATATGACATCTCATAACTCGTACATTTCATATCCCTCTGATATACCATCAAATATATCAAGAGCCAAACAATATGAAGCCACTGGCCACAAAAGCCAAATTTACTGTTGTGTCACCTCTGCTTGCAGAATGATTTCAGCCTGATAAGCTGCCATTCCCATTTTCTTCACCGGCTCTTGTGTATGCAACACCCAGCCTCCCCAGACTCCTAAATCTCTTCAATTACTTATATTATCATAAGGTAATATGCTTATACTCATATACTCAATTTCACATTTTTGCAATAACCATAAATCATGAAGCGAGGAGGAAAAGTACTCTCTGCCAACCTCTAAATCACTTAAATAACTAATATCCCGTATACACAATTTCACATTTCTGCTGCACAATAAATCATAAAAACACCAGGAAAATGTGTTTTTTCCACAGCTGTGCATTAGCCTAATGAATGTGGATGTTATTCCCTACAACTTCAGTGTGTGTGTGTGTGTGCGTCTGCTGTGCTTGTGTGCTTTGAGGCTAAGATGGTGGTTAGGTTACAGTAATAGAAAAAAAAAAGATAAAGTGCAGGAAATCAGGTGGCAGCTCACGTGAAATGCCGATAGGCGTACACCACCGAGCCCTGTGATTGGCAGTGGGGTTCAATTCCCAAACATATCGGGAAACGTCTGCAAGGTCACGCAGGCAGGTGTGAGAATACCTACCAGTCTCCTGTTGAAGCTGTAATAGGGGAAGCTATTCATCTTGTGTATGGTGACTTCAAGAGAGCCAGAGGTCTATGGGACCACCCTTGCTCCAGCAGTCAAATTCTGCAGCAAGGCTGGGTGAGGGTAAAAAGGGAGGGGTGACCGTTGGTGGGTGAGTGGGGAGGGGGGCAGCTGAGACTGAGCCAGTGTCAAGCAGGGCAGAGGGTAGAGGGTCAGCCAATCGATTTGGAGCAGGCCCACCGATTCGGAGAGATGTCTAAAGAAACGGGCCGATCAGGGAAAACGTCAGAAAAATTAATTTGGGACAGAGCCCACATGAGTTCAGAGAGCCCGTTTGAAATGAAACTATGCCTTGTGGCCAGCTTACCTACCACCGCAATATCATTAGTTTTGCTTGAGGGAATGTGTAAGCATTTATGTGTGCACGCAACTGTGCATGTGTGTCTTACTATAC